GTCGGGGGGGGGGGGGGAGGGGGGAAGTAAACATTTGTAAAAGTTTTTTTTTCTAAAATTTTCAATTAAAAAAGGTTTTTTTAAAAGTTCCGACAATCAGCTGTGCCAAGTGATTTATATTCGCTAGGAAGCAGGAAATCCTGCTTTATGGCGAATTTAAATCATGCGGCAGAGCTGTTTCCATACACACACAGACGCTGTTCTACTTACCTTTGCAGACTCAGAAAAGGCTTCTTAGTGCCTGCAATGCGCATGCACGCGAAGCAAACAGGTAGGAGACTTCAGAGAATTTCCCCCCCCCCTGCCCTGTATAAACTATGATTCACATGTGATAAACCACATGCTGCCCAAATGCCACTGGAGAGAGTGACTTCACCAATGGCTTACTCCAAAAGCTTCCATAAACCTGGGCCCCAGGCATGGGGAGGGGGCGTGACGCATGCCGAGGGGGGGGTGCCCGCATTGCATTTTGTGGTTGTGTGCTTTGGACACTCGGTAACAAAAAGGTTAGCCCTCGCTGTCGTAGAGGGATCCAAAATCAAGGCATTAAATCAAGACCAACAAAAGCATCCCTATCAACATCAGTGCCGCAGCCACCAGCCCGCCCGGTTAACACACAAGATGTAAATACTAGGGAGAAGTGGTAGTCATGGAGACCTAGTTGTGGCTCCCAACACGGTGTCGTTTTTTGCGATAACCGACACTGCCAACGTGCCTGGGGCTCCTTGGGTAGAGAGAATTATAACATCTGGGCGTGCGCTTACCTTCAGCCTTTGATTGAAAGCATCAAAGAGCAGTTTGATTCCGTCCTGAGTCAGGTTAAGGATGAGGTCATGGCTGAGAGGAGACTGGAAAACAAATGAAAGAGAATCGTTTTGTGAGTTGCTGGTGGAGAATTCCCGGAGCCTCCGGTTTCTCCGAAAGCCAAAAGAAAGAACCGTGGCCACAATTTCCTTCCATTGGCACCAGGAAAGGCTGCATGTTTGCTGGAGGCTGCCAAAAAACAGCCAGGCGCAAAACTGCGGCTGCCAAGTTCCTTTTCCTCGTATTATTGAAATGAAATATAGAGGCAACAGGCAAGGCTCAGATTACGTTTAAAATCTGCTTTCACTGGAATAGCGGCCAAATCTTGTGTTCCTGGCTGAGAAGGAACAACCAAAATGCACCACCAGAGAAAGACACGGTTCAGCCCAACTGCAACCTTGCCTTTGAGAAATTAAAAAAAAAACTAGAATTCTGCTCCTTCACATCAACTTAGTGATTCTTGTTTCAGATTTTAAAATCCATTCTNCCAGATGTGCCAACATGGCTCTCTTAATAAATTGGACCTTTGAGGAATCTTTTGCCTTGAACTGTGATTTAATTTTGGATGCTATTTGGAACCCTGACTCTAGTAATGGAGCACCCGCAATTTCTGAAGGCAATCTGTTCTTCTGGTTTATTGTTCTCTCAAAATAGTGTAGATCCTACAACAATAAAGGAGTTAGTCCTAGGGTCCCTGCCATGCCTGTGTCTTGACCTGGCCTCACTCGATGGGCTGATATGATGGGATGAATTTATTTCTGTGGCTAAATCGCTTCACAGATTAGTTGTTCTCACTGTCAGGAAATATCTCCTTCTAGGTTGGATCTATCCTTGACAACTTATGGAGCACCCACACCTTCCGGAGGTGAGTCGTTCCAGTGATTAACTGTCCTCATCGTCACAAAATATCTTCTTAGTTCTGGATCCCAATCTTCTTCAGTCTGATGTCTTCCTGACATCTTGGGATTTTCTCAACCGACGTTGGTTGAGCAATTCCAGAGCTCCACCAAATTGGAGAAGGTGGCGTGAAGCCAACCAAATCTTTTGATTTGGCTTTGGGTTTAGCAGGAGGTGTGAAAGCAGACACTGGGATTTATAAGCCATTCGTTTCTTCAAAGAATTAGGTCCACTCCACACACCTTCTCCAAAGTAATCTCTATGCTCCTTTCATGCATGCTTTGCTTCTAGCCAAAGTCATCCTACACCTGTGGCACGTGGGCCACAGGTGGCACACAGAGCCCTTTACGGGCACACGAGCCGTTTCCCTAGCTCAGCTCAACCGTGCATGCCTCCCGCCAGCCAGCTGATTTTTGGGTCTGTGTCGCGCATGTGTAGGCTGCAGGAGATGCATGAGTGTGTGCATGCGCTGGGGGAGGCAGCATGGTTCCCCAGTGGCCCATTTTTGGTCCCAGGAGGCTTCAGGGAGGCCTACTAGGCCCAAAATGGGAAGCGAAGGGGGTTAGGGGTGGTCGTGCGTATGCGTGGATGGGCTCATGGTGGGGAGGGGAGGAGGGTCACGCATGCATGCACAGGGGGAGGTCGCACAGGCTTTGCATTTTGGGTGCAGGCACGCGACGACCAAAAGATTAGCCATCCCTGTCCTATGCAGAAACCAAGAGACTCTCCAAATGATAACCTATGCTGGTAGTCTTTGACTGGCGACCATAACTGAGCCCCAAAACCTTTGTTGCTAATCGAGGCAGTCCCTGAGTGAGCTTTGCCCCATTCTATGACTTTTCTTGCCACAGCTGTTAAGTGAATCACGACAGCTGTTAAAATCAGGAACACGATCGTTAATGTGAACCTGTCTTCCCCGTGGATTTTGCTTGTCAGAAGGCCACAAAAGGAGACCCCCATGACCCCGGGACATTGCGACCATCATAAATATGAGAGTCAGTTGCGAGTGTCTGAATTTGGATCATGTCACTGTAGAGATGGCGCAACAGTCGCAGATGTGAAAGACAGTCGCAATCATAAATGTGTGTGTGTGGGGGGAAATGTAATCATTTCACTTTGTTCACTGACACTGTATCTTTGAAAGGTCATGAAATGAACTGTCGTAAGTCAAGGAATAACTATGTAAACCTGTCAACCTGAATCTGAAATTAAAAGGAAGGAGGAACTCTCTTGGAGTGCCATTTGTCGGAAATGGTGCAGGGCCTTGATGGCAAACCTATGGGCCCTCTCTGTGGGCAAGCGTGCCCTCATCAGCTGCTCTTCTGGTTTCTAGCATGTACATCCGTGCTGGCTGCCGGAGCGCCAGAAAACGGCCTGAAAACAGCCAAAACCGCCCCCAAAACAGGCCGTTTTTGAGGTCATTCTCCGGGCTGTTTTCAGCCATTTTTCAGGCTGTTTTTAAGTGCTCCGGAGGAAAAACTAAAAACATCTTGAAAATGGCCAAAAATAGCCAAAAAACAGGCATGCGCACACTGGCCAGCTGGTCTTCGGGTTTGCAGCACTCCGGCGCATGCATACGCGTTCCAGTTTGGGCACTCGTTGCCAAAAAGGTCTGCCATCACTGGTGCAGGGTCTCCTGCTTGGGTGAGGGTTGGACTAGATGATCTACAAGGTCCCTTCCAACTCTGTTAATCTGATCTAACCTAATCTAATCTGGCAAAAGGATTCTTCCGGACATGAGCTGCCAAACAAGATTTGCCTCTTTGTAAATGTTGAAAACTCACCTCCTGGATGAGTGGCTCCAAAAGACTGATCAATTTGTTCAATGGTAGGAGGAATAGCTTGAGAGTTAAAATGAACACCACTAGGAAAAGTAAAAGAAAGAAAGACTGATTAAAATCTAATTAGTCAAACACAAACCTACCCATACATTCATAAAAAGGTAAAGCTTCCCCTCGCATGTATGTGCTAGTCATTCCCGACTCTAGGGGGTGGTGCTCATCTCCGTTTCAAAGTAGAAGAGCCAGCGCTGTCTGAAGTCTCTGTGGTTATGTGGCCGGCATGACTCAATGCCGAAGGCGCACGAACCGCTGTTCCCTTCCCACCAAAGGTGGTTCCTATTTTTCTACTTGCATTTTTACGTGTTTTCAAACTGCTAGGTTGGCAGAAGCTGGGACAAGTAACGGGAGCTCACTCCGTTTCGGGGCGCTAGGGATTCAAACCGCCGAACTGCGAACCTTCTGATTGACAAGCTCAGTGTTTTAGCCACTGAGCCACCACATCCCTTGCACATTCATAAACTGCTTCAAAATCTTTTTATTTTCACTGTTCCTTTTCCCTCCCTGATTTCCGCAACTTAACAAACTAGAATGTTCTCATTTTTTTTTTGCAGTGTGAAAACTTGCAACCGAGACCAACTACCTCGCTCAAAGCTATTTGTGATCTAAATGCCTTATTCTATCTCTGCTTCTAACTAAATCTGCTCAGATGTGAAATTCTAGGGCAGAGGTCGTTTGGTAAAAGGCTCAAAAGTATGTTTAATGCGCTTTCACACCAGGTACAAAATGCTTTGGTTGCAATGACTGCTTTAAGGGGTGAGAAACGGAATGCTTTTTCAAGCCCTTTTTTCTTAATTTCATCCTGTCTTCTGCAATCAGTGTTTTAAATTTGTAAAGGAAAAAAAAATGGGTTTAGAAGAGAAAGTCCATAGAATGAACATGCATTGTTGCTAAGTTTCTCATCACAAATTTAAGAACCAATTTTCTCTCCATCGCTTCAAATATCTTTCAAGAAAGACTCCTATGTACATAAAAAAGGCAGGAATTTGGTTGCATAATTGCAGCCACTGTCCTTTCTCTTCTGGCACGCTCCTCCTATAGACAACTCAGCTGCTGCAGAGTTGAAAATGTCTTAATAAGTCTTTTTTGTGGCCAATGCAGAGCCCGTCTAGCTACTCACCAGTACTTTAACTTCACTTTAGTCAAGTCGTAAACTTCAATCACCTAAAACAAAAAGAAACAAAAAAACCTGTAACTAATTTCGTTGTCTTTATTTTGTACAATGACAATAAAGGCTATACTACTGTAAACACTATGAAAAATTAATCAATGACTCCTGGAATTGTAGGGCATATTTAACTTCTGTAAGGATGTTAGTCAAAGCAAAACTTAAAAACGTACAATTACATGCGAATAAAACAAAGGAAGAGAAGGATATTTAGTTCTACCTGCTTCTATTTTGGGTTTGAATGTGCTTCTTTAACATCAGTCCCTTGAAGAGATGTGGACTTCAACTCCCAGAATTCCCCAGAAAGCGAACTTCCAGGTTGCCCGTAGGGCTGTTTTCCACCCTCCGGAGCCTTCAGGGAAGCTCCTGAAGCCTCCGAGGGCCTCCGGGGGTGGGAGGCTGTTTTAGCCCTCCCCAGGCTCCTAGAAAACCTCTGGGGAGGACGAAAAGAGCGCCAATAACGGGAGGAGGGGTCACGCTGGTCACGTGTGCATGGGGGGAGTCGCATGTGCATGCACACTGGGATTGCGCGCATAGCATTATGGGTGTGCGTAAGCCCGCGCACAACTCCTGTGCACTCCCCCAACTTTTGGCACATGATCCAAAAAAGGTTAGCCATCATCACTGGCCTAGAGCCATGGATCTGAAATGTGTGTTATGGAAAGCAGGAAGGATGTAAGAAAAAGTAAGAGAAGAGGGTGGGCCAGAATGGCAAAGAAGCAGAGGAGGAGATAAAAGAGAAGAAACGAAAGCACAGCCGTGGTAGAGGAACACAAGAAAAAGCTGAAGAGCTTTTTGGAGTATTATGAAGAACATCCAGAGAAGCAAATGGCGTTGATCTTCTTAGATGCACAGAAAGCATTTGATAATGTGAATTGGCAATTTATGCTAACACAACTAAAAGAGGTGGATTTGGGGGAGAGATTTATTAACATGATTAAGGCGATATCTTATACATCGAATGCAGCATTTTTTTGCCTCCCAAAGCCCCGCCCCCTTCACCAAAATGGCCAAGCAGATGCTGTAGAAGGCTTTCAAAGAGCTTCTGGGGGCTGGGGAGGGCAGAAATGAGCAAACAACTGGCTGTTTTTTGCCCCCCCCCCCCCAGCCTCCAGCAGAACTCTATAAGCCTCCATAAGGCTATGCATGCAATTTTTTTTGACAAAAAAACAACGGGCCCATTTTTGTGAAAAACAGGCCGTTTTTGGGAGGTTTGCAGAGTGCAAACACTTTTTTTTCCTTTTGAAAAGCTCTTTAACTGATTGATGAGAATTAGATTGATCAAGTGCTGTGCCAGTCTTAGGTGCTGCAGATTGTCAGCTATTTCTCCAGCACATGGATAAATACACCTGAAAACATCTACTTACCTACCTACTCTCTCGCTCCCTATCTACCTACTGTATTTCTCTCTCTCATACACTTTCTCTCTCTCTATCCCTCTACCTACCAACCTACCTACCTACTCACTCACTCTCTCTCTCTCTCTCCCCCCTATCTACTGTATTTCTCTCCCCCCCAACTACCTATGTACCTATCTACTCTCTCTGTACCTATCTACTNACACTGGGGTGGGGTCGTTGGAGGGAGGGGGCTGGGTTATCATTTGAGATGTACTTCTTCGCGCCTTTCTGGCTCAGATCTTGCTTTACTTTCGCTGCTATCTTTTCATAACCAGTAAAAGTATTTTAATTCCACGAACAATGGAGTTGGGAGTTTTCTTTCTTTACTTTCATTGATGGAGGCATGCCTGACAGTATTCTTTTCAATACACAGGGAGTCGGGAGTCTTCCTTTCCTAGAAGACCAAGTTGGGGCAGGGCTGATATTAAACCAGGCCTGATACTATTTTTGAAACCCTCCAGTGATGGAGTAGCCACAACCTGTTCACACTGTCTGGAAATCTCTCAGTTCTGTGTTGGATCTGTCTTTAATAAGCTTAATTCTTGTCCTGCCCTCTGAATGATTTCAGGGTCTCAGTTATATCATTTGGCCCAATAGGAAAAAGGAGAAAGGAATAATAATCAGAGGTAGGACGAAGAGCCGTAGTCTAAGCAACAGTAAAATAAGAGGCACTAAGGCAGGGGTGTCAAAATTGATTTCATTGAGGGCCACAACAGGGTTGTGTTTGACCTTGGGGGGCCAAGGTGGGTGTTACCAGGGTTGGTGTGACCAGCTCGATGTCACTCATGTCGGGGGGAGGGGGAGCACCTGTGGTAGCCTGAGCGCACTGCTGACGAAACAGGCTCCCAAGCTCTGTTTTTGGCTGCCGTGGCTTCCTGAAACCCTCTACCAGTGAAAATGGAGCTTGGGAGGGTTGACCGTGTCCCCCCGTGAGCACCGTTTTCAGCTGCGACTTTTGCTGGCAGATGCACCATGGGCTGGTCCTTTGCTGCTTGCGGGGGGGGGGGGGCACAGGCCAGATCTAAGCACCTCATGGGCCGGATCTGGCTCCTGGGCCTTGAGTTTGACACCTCTGCACCAGGGCTATGCTCTTATCTGGCCGCAGACTAGGTCACAGTCAGATTTATAGGTAGCCGAGCAAAGGGGAGACATTTGCAGAATTCTCCCATGAAGCAAACTGGAGATGCGTGACAAACGTCCTTATGCGTTTTTCACATTAACAGTTATGGATAGACGTTGTTGATTAAACAGCTATCTGTGTGAAGTGGAATAAAGGAGAATAATATTGATGAAGAGAGAAAAAATTNGGGGAATTCTGGGAATTGACGTCCACAAATCTTAAAGTTGGCCCGGTAGACAAACAAGCCAATGCAGGAATACCAAGGAAGGCAAATATTGAAGTGCTTGTTAGAACAGCTATAGAAACGTCTAACCAAACTGTATAAACAACATGTTGCTATTATTTACAAAGGGTGAAGCAAGAATCCCCATGACACGGACTTAGATCAAGGCAGGGCAGGGTGCAGCATCAGGGCTGTGATGGCATGAGAGAATAATCTTGGGGTGACACGGAACATAGAATCACAGGGCTGGAAGGGACCTCGGAGGTCTTCTAGTCCAACCCACTGCTTAAGGCAGGTCGTCTTATACCCGTGATGGCGAACCTGTGGCACACAGAGCCATTTGTTAGGGCATGTGAGGTGTTGCCCTGCCAGCTCCAGTGCACATACGCACGCTGGCCAGCTAACTGTGGCCTTCTTTTAAGTCCGTTTTTCGCCCTCTGAAGCCTCCGGAGGGCGGAAAACGGCCCTATGGGCAAACTGGAAATCTGTTCGCGAACTTCCAGTTTGCCTGCAGAGCTCCGGAGGCTTCAGGGAAGCTTCCTGAAGCCTCCAGAGGGCCAACAAGAGGGTGAGGAGGCTGTTTTCACCCTCCCTAGGCTCCTAAAAGGCCTCTGGAGCCCGGGGAGGGCAAAAAACGGATCCATTGCTCACCAAAAGCGGGGAGGGGGGGGGGACTCGCTCACATGCGCACAGGGGAGGGTCACGCACATAGCATTATGGGTGTGGGCACACCCACACATGACCCCCCCGCATTCCCTCTGCGTTTGGCATGCGATGGGAGCAATACCATCCCAATCAAATGGTTGTCCAGTGTATTCGTCAGAACTTCATCCTTCGCTTCAGCCGTGGTTCGCTAGATGTCAGCACGCCATAAACTACAGGAGAAGGAACTGGGGAAACTGAAACTAAACTTAGTGCCTTCCCGAGGCATCAACTCTACATCCCAAGGTCTCGGGTTTGGGGAATGGAATATAAGGGCTCAGGATCTAGTCTGCTTTTACAAGGACAGTTACCAAAACAATTTCTTTGAATGTGCCTGGACAAATGGGAGATAGCAGAGGAGCAGAACGAGAAAGGGGAAGTTAACAGGGAAGCTTTCGCACGCAAAACCTCAGTTCTGGCTTTGATCTACTGTAACCATTTGGCTTTTCGTAGAAGTATTTGTCAGCCTCTGTTTTGCTTACTTGCTATCGGCTGCCATAGAAACGGGGAGGGAGGGGGCATGGTATTTGGGATGGGAATAAATGATACAGGAGGTGATATGGAAAAGGG